TGGGAGGAAAGAGTCTCCCACTTGAGACCTTGGACTTATTCAAATGTTGGCCAGTTTTTGTCAGTTTTGAAAATAGTGTTGGTTGGTGCTTGTGGTATTCTTCTCTCAAATATCCTGCTACAGTTTTGCATCAGGTCCTGTTTTCTATATTTGGAGCATACATTATATATAATTGATGGTCCAGAAGTATATGACCCCAAAAATGAAAGTCAAAGGATTAAGAATGAGTAATGTGTGTGTGTGTGTGTGTAAATTGTGTATTTGTGTACATATGTAATATTAATGACTGTTCGTTTCACTTCAAAGGGTCCAGGGATCATGGAGCTGGTGGGCCCAATAGTAAGTCAAATACGGAAACTAACGTAATCGTTTATTACTTGCATTATTAGACCGTTTTTAAGCCTGATTATAAATTTCTGATTTTTTTTTTTTTTACAGTGCAGGAGCAGGATAACTCTGACAACAACACCATCTTTGTGCAAGGTCTCGGAGACGACTATACTGTTGAGTCAGTAGCAGATTTCTTCAAACAGATCGGCATCATCAAGGTGGAAAAGCAAGAGAAAACTCCCATTGTGCAGCAGCTATCTTAGCGTAGTACTGCTTGTCTTAATGTTGTTTTATTTTCTCACACAGGTCAATAAGAAAACAGGATTACCCATGATAAATCTGTACACAGACCGAGAGACAGGAAAGCTTAAAGGGGAGGCTACTGTTTCCTTTGATGACCCTCCTTCTGCAAAAGCAGCCATTGATTGGTTTGATGGTATGTTGAAGTAGATCACACTAATGCCTTTTCTCTAAAACAAGGTTGGAGTCTGTTAGTCTTATTGCATATTTTGATTTCCTGGATGTCTAAGTCACATACATCTTTCCTCCTCAGGTAAAGATTTTAGTGGAAATCCTATCAAGGTGTCCTTCGCTACTCGCAGAGTTGAATTTGGACGCGGCGGTGGTAGCATGAGAGGTGGTCGTGGTCGAGGTGGTAAGGTTTGATCTCTCTGTGGTATTTTAAGTTATCTCCTTTTCTTTTAGTCTGTTTTGTTTTCCTGACATGGTTTTCTTCTCCTTTTGCAGGGCCAGTGGGCCGTGGGGGATTTGGGGGTGGAAGAGGTGGTGGTGGTGGTTTCCCAGGCAACAATGGCAGCAGCGGCGGCGGCGGTGGTGGTAGCCAGCAAAGAGCAGACTGGAAATGTTCAAACCCGTAAGTGTTGTTTTGTAAATTAACAAATTGTGAAGTGTTTACAGTTACATAATACAAATTATATACAGTACACTCATGTAAAGCATTATATACTATAGCAAATCTCAACTGGCAGCTTTAACAATGTGTATTGTGAGTTTAGCGCTATGTAAATAAATGTGACTTCACATTCATATTTTCTGAGCTTTTATCTTGTGTGTGGGCAGAACTTGTGGTAATTTGAACTTCTCATGGCGAAATGAGTGCAATCAGTGCAAAGCTCCCAAACCGGAAGGAAGTGGAGGAGGAATGCCACCGATGGGAGGTAAAGAGAAACATTTCTGCAAAAAAGAACAAGATGCTGCAGTCGTAGGTGACTTAGGCCATGTTCACACAGCAGCAGAATACGGTTGTCAGTCCTGTATTTGAGTCCTTAATACGGTTACGTTCACACACAGTTTGGTTATTTACTGGTGTGACAACTGCATTCTGTAACCAAACTCACACCTGTAAATTTTTAGGACTCAACCGCATTCTCGGAACACACGCGCTGTGTGAACGGAACAGGACTGGACAACTAGTTGTCTGTCACGTCATACAGTGCGAGAGAGAGCCGCTCTGCCGCACAAACGCATGTTTACCGTGTGTTACGTGTTTTCGGTAACTTACAGTGACGGAGAAATGAGCTGCGTGTCTATCACATGAAATTTTTAGATCCCGTCAGTTTTCCACCAGAGCCGGGTCCCGTCAAGAAAATGCGGTTGTCAATCCCAAAAACTGACAGTGTGAACGTAGCCTTAGTGAACTCAGAGAGTGGATTGCTGTTTTAATGTCCCTGTTTTTGTAGGTGGTTTTGGTGGAGACAGAGGCGGTTTTGATCGAGGTGGTTTTCGTGGCCGTGGTGGCGATCGAGGGGGCTTCAGAGGGGGATTTGGACCCGGCAAGATGGACTCGAGGTGAAATTACTGATGATTCACATTCTCACACATCTTAAAATGTTATTTAGTAGAAAACTGATTTTCAGTATACTGTACAATGTTCACCAGTGAAAATGTATTTCAGTGCCTATGTTATGTGTTTTTCAGAGGTGAACACAGACATGACCGCAGAGACCGGCCTTACTAAGGGGAAATTCTCTTTTGTCCAAATAAGACTTTATTTCAGTGTGGGACCAGTATTTACTCCCCTTCAACATGTATTACCTTGTTGCTCATGTTTTGTGTTGTATGTTGTTAAAATAATTGTTTTTGTTTTAGTTCTGGTAATTTTTTTTTTTAATTCTCTCTATATTCTGATATTCTTAATCATGAAATTTGTGTTTTTCCTTTCTGAATTTGTTGGTGTTTAGGTCAGTTGTAATATTTGTGCAATTTTTTAAATGTACTTTCTTTGACATTTTTTGAAAACTGGTTTAAAATTAAAAATGTTTGAAAAGTAGCTAACTTGTGATGTGGCATTACTTTATTTCAATATCTTTTCATCCACATTTCCAAGCCTTTTGCATTGATCTCATTGTTTTGCAATAGTGGTAAACTGTTTGTCTAGTGAATGATATGCCAAAATAACTGCTTAAAGATTAATGGCACAAAGTTTTCATGATAGTAATTTATCTATGGTTTAAAATAATAGGAAGAGGTTGCAGCATGTCAAGACACAAAAAAGATGGTGAGCTTGAGGTGCATCCCAGTTACTCAACAGTGCACACTTGTGTATAGAGGACCAGATAGATCAAAAGCAAATCATGGCTATGAAATAATAACTCCCCTGAATAAAGTTACTACTAGCAGTCCTAGAACATTGATGCTGATGCAGGCACCAAACCACTGTCCTTTGAAAGGTCAATGAAGGTGAGACCACAACAAAACAGTTGAGGAAGTTTGAACTGGGACATCCAACTTGCATCCCTGGAGTCTTTTATGTTGTTTTGAACATTGACATGGAAAAAAAAAACAGGAGCCAACAAAAGCACAGGGGCCCGTTCGTCGTAAGTCGCTTATTGTATCCGAGATGAAATGTCACATCCAAGATGATATCAACGCGTTAATCAGGATCTGGCTAATTCGGTTCTTCGAGCGCAGCTGTTGTTGATGATTAGTCTGGCTGGATTGTGTTATCTGAGATAATTGCGCGTTCATGGGTTGGTTTAAAAGGGGCTATGTATCGATACTCGAAACCACGATCAGCAATGCAGCGATTG